GCACGAAAAGAAAGTTAGAATTTGATTTTGTTTTTCTTTAATTGCATACTTCTTAAATCGATGTGTTCGAAAGTGAATTTTTTGGCAGAAATTTTAAATAATTGCTGGAGTAATTGTTGTGACGTGGAGTAGCCCAGGGCTAAAGAGAGTGGGATGGTTTAGCGTACATTTTTTAAGAGGAGATAATTTTATGACTTGTACGTGTGGTAGCTACTTATCGTGAGTAATATGTAATTATCATCAAGTGAACACAGACTTCCGTGTCTGCATTTTTATTTGCGTGCACTTAACTTCCTGAAATATGGATTATAGAAAATTGTAAAAAACTGGAACGGGAATATGCATGTAGAGAGTGATAGATACGAAGTTTCGTGATTTAAAAATGAAGTGCTATTCAAATAGAGGTTTGCCGAAAATTAATTTTGTGATTGTACCACGAAATATCGATGCTGTAGTTTATGACATATATGATGAAAATGATAACGATTTGTTAAATAATGCATATGCCAGGGGTGAAACAGTGAAGTGGAATGTTTTTTGTATACATAAATACTGTGAATAAAAACAAAAATAATAAGCTTACTTTAATCTTAAACTTTTGTACTTTTTAGTGTAAATCTATAATATTTACATTAATCAGACTAACTGTGTCTTCAAATGTTATTTTAAGTGCAGCCTTTCCATTTTCTTTTTGCATATTACAATTTGGACGTTGAAATTTATAATAATATGGAAAATTATGCATTTTACGGTTGCGAGACTGAGATCAATAAAATGCGCTTCTGATGACATTTGAGAGCCTTCAGTTTTCTGTTAAGATTTTGCCGAATTTTTATTTCAATTGCTAAAGTTTAAAATAATTCCAAAATGGTTTAACTTCAACGGTGCAAAATTAAGATGCATACAATGAAGGATTTTTTATTTAAATAAAATTAAATGTTATTTTCTAATTGTTTAAATGTGTCAGATAATAGTTTCACCTATCAAATGAACTTGAAATAATTTAAAACTTTTGTGACACTATTAACGTTAATTGCAAATATTCAATTTTATGCTTGAGTTTCTCTGTTTTTTCACCAATGTTATGGAAAAGTGTTACAAGAATTATTTAATAAAAAATTAGAATGGAATAAAAGTATAAATAAATTAGAAATTAATGTTATTAAAGTTAAATAAACTTAAGGTCCACATGAGAAATTGATGCAACTATGTTTCGCATTTGGCGCAATCGTTGTTATACGCTCTTAAAAAATTAGCTGAGGCTTCTGTCAATTACTATGAGGGATGAGAACAGTAATTTTTTTTGTCAAAGTGTGAAATTTGAATGTCCAAACTTTTGACAAAAAGGGAATGCGGTTGATTACTCGTGCGATTGCTTTTTATCAAGCTTCCTAGATTATGAATTTAGTAAAAACTTTGTGAAATTAATTGGAGTGTAAATGTTGACAAAATGTTTAACACTAAGTCAAACATGTTGTTATCCCCACAACCGTGAACATGTCGGAACTTTGGCAGCACAATATCAAAATAAAACTTTGATCAACCACCACTTAAAGTAAACCAGAGTGAGAATAAGTACTATTTTTATAATATTTGTAAGTTCTATTTTATTAGATCATAATTGCTTTAATATTTAAAAACTGAGTGCGACTTTATAATAAAATTTAAATTATCACAGTGGATTATAATAAGTCATCACAATTTCTACTCTCTTCTTAATCTATATCAACGATGTATGTATTTATTGCATTTCAAAGCCCAAATTTAAACTTGTTTGTGGATCATATAACGTATTTTTTCCAATTTCGTGAGCAACCTAGAAACTTGGTGCCGCAAATAACCTTTCTCTTGATAGATCTAAAACATTATTTGCTGCTTTTAATTAAGTATTTGTCACATCTTTAAAAAGTAAGTGCTTGCTTAAATTTCTGGAAGTGCTTATTAATTTTCGTCTGGTTTAAGATAAACATATAGAGTGTCATTCTTCTTCTGGAAAAAAAAGATTTAGTTGAGAAGGTTTTTTCAAATACACCATTCCTTTAATGTATGTACTTACCATTCACTCTTGCCATTCATTACCGCTCTGGGCGCGTTTTGCTTTTGTAATAACTCGTATTTTCAAACTTTGTGAGTATATCACGCAAAATCTTCTATTTTATCAAATACATGTTGATCTTAATTTTTAAAATAACTCGATAACAATTTTGTGTAATATTTTTCACTTCATAAATTTTTGTCTTACAATTTTTGTTTGAACTTTTTTATTATTGTTATCAATTTTGTCTTATTTGCATCTAAGGAAAGTTAAGCAATAAACAGGAGTAGAGCTGCAGAATTTTAACATTCGATAAATTAGTACTTAATTAAACCAGTTTCATCAGAAGGAAGCGTTTAATGCGAAGCCCGCTTGGTTAACCAACATTTTATAAGCACTGCATATGTGTTGTATAAGTTAGGTTGTGGAATGTTTAATGCTAATGATAATTTTTTTAATGTGAATTCAGGAATATACGTTGATGTATCAATTATATATAATTTACTGAATTTTTGCAGTGTGATATTTAAGTAAAATATATTAGGACACAAAATATTAGTATTAAAGAACTGTTATTAAAAATTAGAGTTAATTATCTATTTTTAAAATCACCAAAAGAAATCTTATAAACTTTAATTTATGTATGCAGAAACAACTACTGAATAAATGATGCCAAATAACTCCATTGACATATTTTTTGTGAACATTCTCTTAATATGCGTGAGTTTTTTCAATATTTGAAGTTATGCATATATAAAGAATTATGTAACATATCTTTAAAACAGTTCAGGTAGTTTAAAAATGACTTTCCATCTGTTTTCTGTATTTTTTAGATGCTTCTATGTAGAGTGACAAAATTCCAATTGCAATTATTTTTTTTAGCTTCACTTTGATCTCCAACTAAATAAACAATGAAACTTCATTCAATTCGTTCATTTTAATATTATGTTAATGTTGGTAATGTCAGTCAATTCCATTTTTTTAAGTTAAGACCCACCACTGACCCGGAAATGACCGGCATTCAGGCAAGACTTCTATCATTACGGGTACTAAGACCAAGTAATGATATGCATTATTATTATAAGTATTATTATTATTATTATTATTATTATTATTATTATTATTAGTAATAGTCCTTCGACAGGCTGAGGCCCAATTAATGAAAGACAATATATTTAAAACAGGAAAATAACATGCATAGATACAAACACTACAATGCAAAAAATCTTCTAATGTTTTTAATAGAGCAGCAAAAGATATCAACGTCGGTCTCTATAATTGTGTAGTTGTTAAGCATTTGATACAGAGGCGATGATCTCATAACATTTGTTCTTGGTATTGGAATTTGAAATACAGAATTACATCTTAAATTTATTGTAGGTGCTCTAAAATTTAGAAGCAGTAATAGATCATCACACTTTACTCGTCCGTGTATTAGATTGTATAACATAATAATAGAAGTCACATATCTGCGGCAAGATAAACTTTGAATATGGAAACGTCGTAATAGTAAATCATTTGGGAACCCTTGTGGAGGATAGGCACCATCATTAGTGAAACATAGAAATTTCAGGAATCTACGTTGAATCTTTTCCAAAGATGATATGTCGACTTGATAGATAGGATACCACACAAGTGATGAATATTCCAAACGTGATCGGACATAGGTGTAGAAAAGAAGTTGCAAAATGTCTTTTTCTTTTATAAAACTGGAATTTCGGATAACAAGCCCAAGAGATTTATAAGCTTTGGATGTGATAACTTCAATGTGTTTGTCAAATCTTAACTTTGTGTCAAAGGTGACCCCAAGATCACAAATATGCTCAGGCCGTTGTAGTACAAATCCATCAATGTTATAGTCATAGGCTATAGGGTTTAGCTTTCTATAGAAAGATTTCACAAAACACTTTTTTTTATTAACCAGTAATTCATTACGGTTTGACCAGTTAAACAACCTATTGATATTATCTTGCAGACGGATGCAATCATTTATTGTTGTAATACTGCAAAACATACTTATCTAGAAAGAAAACAATTTTTCCATTTGTCAACTGATTTCGACATATTACATGTCATCATTAGAGAGTGTCGTGCATAATAAAAAGTTGTATTACTCATTTTATATGAAAAAATTTCGTACATGGACACGTCAATATATTAAAGTAGAAACACAACAACAGCTGTTTAGTTTGAAGTTTTCATAAGTTTATTGTACAAGTTTATTTGTTTGATGTTTATCATTCCGTATAAGAAAGTTCCATGAAGTCTTAATTAACAAATTTTTGTATTAGATAATGGTCCCGTAAATTACAGTATAATGAAAGTTAGTCAGTATTTAAATGTCTTTAGTTGTTACCAAAGAAAATTTGTGATCCATGACACTAAGAACACGAAAGAAAAAATATGAATATGTGTTTGAACTTAACTTTGGTAACACTGTGACTGTAAAAAAATTGGTACGCTAATAGTCAAATACATAAGATACTCATTACTTTGCAAGTTAAAATGAATAACAGTTAAAACTTAGACAATGTGCTTTTCTTCATCCGAACGTCTAACAATTAAAGCAGTGAAAGTTAAGTACTTTGTGGTATTCAGAATGTAGTTTTACAGTTTTACGTTATACGAAGAACTTATTATTCTCTCGTTTGACGTAAATGTTGTCCAAAATATACATGGGATAAATATTTCGTCATATTTTTCTAGTTACAACCTTGAGTTCGCATAAGCTTATACTTTTGCACTCTCAATGTTAATGTCCCATTGTTACTTGAGATATTGCAACGCAACTTTCGATTCAGGGTATTAAAATGCATTCCTCGTCGTCTCAACATGTTTACAATGAATAATCGCATTTAAAAGCAATCGAAACTGATGGCTGAAATATTTCGCGCAAGTCGTTAATCGCATGAGATGTAGAAAGACAAACATGAAAATGAGTAGAAATCCGTTGTGTAATACTGACCTGGAGATTAGAGGACGCCGAAAACTGTGCAGGAAAATACGGAGCAGCGAAACTAACAGCAACCAAAACACTCAAAACACACGCGGTACTTACGATACACTTCATTTTGACTAGACTAGGTTAACACTTCTGAAAACAAAGAAAAAGAATTAGTTGTGCATATTTACATATTATATGGACGATTTCAACTTTGAACCTGCCCTGAGGGGGGTCACAATCTGAAAGTTTTTAGTACTCACGTAGACAAAGTTAAGAAATTTGCCAAGAATCACGTAAAAAACACGCGTGTAGTAAATGGCCACATGCAGTAATGCACTAATGCCATTCAATTGCGTTAACAAATACAAGAACCAAGTAAAAATCAAATATTATACAAGCCTAGGTCCTTTCACTTTTCGCTGTTCGCTCCTTTGATTGTCTCACACTGCACTGGGACACAAGTTACGCAATTTACTCGTATGCCAAATTTTAGATGTTGACTCGAAAAATTCCCCAACTAAATTGATCGGATTCTCTACGCTTTCTAGCTGGTGCGGTAAAATTTTGTGGAGGGACAGAGAAGTTATCATTGAAATCTACAAGGAGACCTAGACCCATAAACTGACGATCATACGTAGTCCAAACTACGTAAGGCAATCGTCGACACACTACGTCTAATTAACGATTTTTTCATGCAAGAATTACTTTAAAATAACTTCAATTATTTCGTAATTGTAGGATGAGCATCGCATTGTATTAGATGGTTTTTACACAAATGTTAGTAAGACAAGGACTATCGGTCTTGCGACACCGATCTGTTAAACTAAAAAAGGGACTATTTTTTAAATTTACATAAAAATTACATTGCATCCGAGTTTACTTGCTTAATTAAGAGTACATTACTTTCAGCTTGATTCATCGTTAGTACATGATCTTACATCAGAACTTGTGGTAAGTGGAGCATTTATTATCACAGTTTATTTGTATGAGCACTAGTTAATCACAAGAGAATGGCAACTGCTATCACGCAAACAGAAACAACATACTGCTATGTAGTTTATGAAAATTCCGTATGTATTCTTTTTTCTTGGTTTCGCCACTCTTTTACATAATCGAATCAATCAATACGACGATGCAAGAGTAACACTACCAGAAAATCCAGCAATACTGCAAGTGAAAGTGGCACACCCTGAAATATGTGTATCAGTTTGGACTCAACTGGACTTGCTTGCATCTTGAAAAACATCACATAATAAAGCTGCATTTACTGTTATCGCCAATGTATTCTTGTTATGACCATTTTCAACTTTCGATTGCGAAAATCTACTTTCTATAGTAGACCAAATTTTTATTAATTTAAATACGCGATTCTAGTTAAGTGTTTAGTTAAAATTCTGCTGCAACTTATTATGGAAACATAAAAAGTGGTCACAGTTGACCCTTGGGGTAGGCCTTGGACGAGTGAGAGTGGTCAGAGTTATTTGACCACGCTAATTAATAAATCACGCAGCTTTTCACAGTAATATGGTAATAAAGTTGTTTATGGCGTTGAAAGTGGACACTATCAGTGCCGTCAGATTAAATGAGGAAGACCATGTTGTGCTATTTCTTGTCGCAGTACTGTTTTTATGCAAACAGTTTTCTAAAATCGTATCAGATGACTTCCTTAAAACGTTCACATTCTACTATTAAAACCCGATTTAGTTGCATTTCCAGAATGATTATTATACTCCATTTCTTGGACACGTATGCAAGCGATATTTAAACATTCTTGTTTGAAAATTCATGGCAACTTTGGAGTGCTGCTCATCACAAGATAATCTGGACAATTCTTGAACTCTCAGACTGCTACATGGTACAAAGCAAAAAGTGTAGAATTTTTATCGTATCACATTAATTCAGTAAGCGTCACAAAGGATAAATGCTTTTCTGCTATTAACTGATTGGATTGTCTGCGGCAATGTATTATTTAAGTTTAACAATAACGCTTTATCGTGGAGCGGCGATGTTCGATGACGCGGGGAAAATAATGTATTAGCTATCGTAACACGTTTTAAAATTTTAATAAAACTTTGGGTAACGTTAAGAATTTAAATTACAGCAACTTTATAATTCTATCACTTTTATTTTCAACATCCTTTTCGTAATCTGTTACGATCCCCAAATATTTATTTTTATTGAAAATCACTATATAAAAGTGTGTTATGTAACAGTTATGTGAAATGAACAATAACCATTTACGCATGAATAACACAATGTAGTTTCAAAATTCCTTTACAATCATTAAACAATGCTTAAGCTGAAAGAGGCGTTCTATGTTTATTAATATACATTATGTATAATTTTAATTAAAAAATTAAAATTGTAACTTCAAAAAGTGACGAACGGAACATTTGTATTCATTTTGTCAATACGACTATATTTTCCACTTCATTGTTTTTTAACGAGTTCCCTATTTCGTATACAAATTTTTACTTCTAATGAACATTACGAACAGATTGTTTTAGAATTTTTGTCGAGCAAGGTGAACCTACCAATTAACACGGAGGAATTTAAAGGTTCCCTTAAGGGCTGTCTTTTTGTAACAATTAATTTTCTTATTTTCGCCAAATGTTTGTTTTACACTGACAAATACTTTGTTTTAAGTTGCAAGGATGAAAAACATTAGAATAAAATTTCGAATTGCAACACATAATTCAACACTTTGTCAAATTTAGTTTCGTCCATTGAAAAAAATCATATATGTTGGAATATGACTCCCCCTAAAATTTATTACGTCAAGTATAGCGTATTGTAATATTTTATTTTATTGTGAATGCATTATTCTGTAAATTTTAACAAAGTAAGGTATATGATTTTTATAGTAATTTAAAATATATATGAAAATAGATAGATTTTAAAATGTTGTCTTGAACTTTCAAAACAAGAGCATTTTTAAATTTTTTAATATTTAAACTGTTCTTATTGGGTGTTTCAGTACAAATATTCATAATTTTGATTATAATACACGATAACGAAAAGTGTGATACAAATCATCAAAACAAAGCTTTTTATTTTCCACAATTGTGACTAAGATCCTTCAATTTATAACCAACAAATTTATTAATAACTTGTACGTAAGTAAATATTATGAATTCAATTTTTTTGTTAATTTTTAATATAAAATTTAGTAAATTTAGGACAACTAGTCATAGATGACTAAAAGGAAATGCACTTTTACTCTTAAAACGGAACGACGACTATCTTAAATAAAGTATATCACTGCGTTAGAGAAAAAAATTAACAATGATTTTAAGGTCTAATATCTTCAGGGTAATTTAAAACAACAAAAACGAAAAAAAAACATTTAAAAAAAGACCCCTTGGGCTTTAATTTTAAAATAATTTATTCCAGTTGTGAAATTGTCTAATTAAAGCAATTAAATTGTAAGCTAGTTTAATTGCTCATTTTTTAATATTGCTTATAATATTCTTCATAATTTAAACATTCTATTATAGTGTGCTTACACAACAAACACGTGACACTAAAAATAGTTGGTATTAAATATTAATGCTGTGGTCTAAAGTCTAATCTAATTACCGTTGTCCATAGTAAGTGGAAACTACATACAGCGTACGCACAAAATATGGAATAAGTTCAATAAAATTCAGAAACATAATTAAGCAATTACTTATACATTAAAGAAATAATAAACATATTTAAACTGTTTGTTAAAAGGTTTTGACAAACGGCAAATTCACTATAGACGCTTTATTTTGTTTTCATTAACCTTCACTGTTCTTAAGTTAAATTAACAGACAACAGGGTGATGCTCTTAATTAATCATTATTTGTTTAGTACATGTACATACTTAATATTGTTTTGATGTTTTAAATTAGCCACGGTAATTATTTCTGTCTAAAATAAATTTAATAGATGGAGAAGTAGTAAAAATGAATAATTTTTGCTGAGAACTTAAACTGTAATCGCTCTTTTCATATTCACATTATTATATCCTGAAATACTTTTTTAAGCATGAAAAAAATTGCTATAATATTGTCAATGTCCTCAGGTCATTGTACTTTTATTTGTAAATGTACCTATAGTTGGAAAAGTTAATAAGAATTTATGAAAAAACTCCTCTAGTATTTGTATTGATGCGGCGTTTACTTGTTTGAACTCCATGTTAACTGGATTAATAAAGTAAAAAACTTTAAGGCTGGTTTCTAGAATATTTTAACTGACATTGAGTTAATCACACATTTAACGAGGCATCTAGCGACATCTGATTGGCGTAGTGTCAGTCAGATGAATGATACTTTAACGCCATCTTAAAAATTTAATCGCATATTTAACTGAGCTTTTGTAAACCGGATCTTAAAGAGTTTAAATTATTTTATTTGCAGACACTGCGACACGTGTTTTGGTACACACCAGTGGCGGCGTAAAGGGGGGGCGGTGGGGGCTGTCTGCCCCGGGTACCAAGAACCAAAGGGTAGCAACGACAATTCACTCGCACAGCCAGAGAATACTTACAGAAGAGCCACTCTACATAAACAATTGGGACGGCAGACAGACAGACAGCCAGACTGAAACGGGGACTTATTTCTTTGTACTGTAGAGGTCATGAAAGGTCCAGAAAATGTAAAAGTAGAGAGTCGGCCGACGGTCTTCATTACAATACTTCTTTCGCTTACGCTTGGGAAGTAAACATTAATAATCTCTTGATAGATTTTACGAAGAACTAGACCGTCGTTACAGGGTAATGTATGATATTCTCGTAACATTTAGTGTTGTTCAACCTAAAGGTCGATTTATAAATTTGTCGCTGACGTTGCTATTTCTCACTGACGTTGTCGTTGTAAGATAAATACGCAGCGAAGGTATGCGTCGTTTATATGATCCGTTGACGTTGCCGTTGAAAGTTGACACGCCGTTGGGGTGGCGTTTTAATTTCAATAACATTTTGCAAGGAAATTATGGGGCGGAGTCTAATTGCAAAATCGATATTTCCTTATACAAATTTTTCATTTTAAACATGTTTTAAGTTTCATGTTGTGAAAGAAGTCTACACATATTAAAAAAAAAGACAAGTTGTAAGCCCACCCACCAGCCCTATTTTAACTGTGATGATTTTTTTTCATTCACCCTGAACCAAGGGGAAATGTTTTTGAGAATCGTGTTGTTCAAAGAATACTATGTGTTTTAAGAAAAAAAAGCAGAATATAAAACCCCGCCAAACCACCCCATCTTAATTGTGATGATCTTTTTATTTTTAGAAACTTAAAAGACGTTTAAAATGGTAAATTTTTGTAAGGAAATATGGATTTTGCAATTAGGCTCCGCCTCTAGGTCTGTCAACGAATGAAAACTTCATTACTACTTAAATCAGGGCAGTTATGGGTAGCGCTCAATCTTTGGCTTAATTTTTTTCTTAATATACATAGTATTCTTCGAATAACACGATAAAAAAATGTCTTACATGGTGATTTCTTGTAGAGAGAGAAATAATAATAATTTTGCATTTAAATTCCGATCCTTTGGCTTTCGACGATTATAAAAAAATCATCCCAATTGAAATAGGGCGGGTGGGTG